TCCACCGCGACATCCTGACTGCTACTGCATGCCCATTCATGGACAGTCTAATCGCTGATTTTCCCAATAACCATGTGACCACAGAAAGTGACATGTCATTAGAAAACCCAACTGAAAATAGATCTGATACATCACACCGAACGCCATGGGCAAAAAGACTGGATTTGCTAAAGGAAGACACACTTACAATTTAAGTGGCTGATTTTATTTAACGGTAGAAAGAGAAATTTAGGTAGCAAAATACTACATGCAGTATCTCAGTGTTGATTATTGTGTCCCAAATTACACCACGAGATTAAATGAAAAGTGCGAAAATAATCACCTCATGAAAGCCACGCAGGAGTGGCTCACCATAGTGAGCACTTGCTAGTGATCGCACTGCATGGATAGTGAGGGTGTCTGCACTCTGTGTGATCGCAAAAACATCTACTGGTGGACCAGTTGATTTTTACAGAATCTGATTTTCCCAAGGTAAAGGGCGCTGTAACCAGAATCATTTTAAATGCTTTATATGGTTCTCAGGGCCAAAAAACGTGAGCTTTATATCCCAAAAAACATTGTAAACGAGAGCACTATAACCATATTAAAAAGTAAACAGTGAGTGGGCATGCAGTTGGGATCATACAGTTTATCATGGTAAAAAAAGATCGGTCGATCACATGCATGTAAGCGATTGAGGTCTACAGTTTGAATGCAAGAGATTTGCTGCAGTGGCAGTGCTGATCGATGTGCAAAATTGTACAGAACAAAACATTTTATTTTTAATTACCATGAACAGATCCACCTCACTCATGATATATAAAAAACAGTGATGCACAAAGGGTGGTCATTACTTTGGGTACCGTATAATCTGAGGAAGTATGGACATTCTTTATTGTACATCGGTGCATGCTGGTTGCATGGGCCGATGAGGCCGTCAGTCACACTAATCCGCCGTCTATTAGACTGTTAATGTGTGGGTTTTAGCACCACCACAGGTGGGAAGCTGGATCAGACAAACCGTTATGAATAACAATAGAGTGCCTCGCCTTCTGTGTAAAAACACTGTGAAACTACATTGAGCTAGTCCCCCGCCAAGCAGGCTCATTTTGCACCGTGAAAAAGGGCTTACTTTGCCATGTAAGAAAGTTTCACGGTGAATTCAGTGTAAACTATATTTTTACGGTGTTGAGATTCATAGTGTTTCCTTTTACCGAGAGAGTTGATGTCTTTCTGAAGAAGTTCACTTTTACTGGGAACCAAACAAGCTTTCCTGGGGGTACTCTAGAGGTATTACTAATGATTTGGATGGAGATCCTTCTGGAAAACTCACAGGTGTCTGTTGGTAACGGAATATCTTTATCCATTCAAGAAGACTGTTGCTGATATCTGTATTTTTGAGTTTGCACAGGTGTCAGTAATGGGGAACTGTGTAAACTGCATAGATGAAATCCAGTATACATTGTAGTTATATCAGCCTGGCTTTTGTTGTCAAGTGGCATTGTATCAAGGAAATTGGTCTTTGTAAACTAGGATATCATTCTTCTAGGTTGTCCAACCGACTTTGTAGAAACTTTTACATGACCGACAACAGCATCATGATCACTACTGCCAGCTGTGATGTGCTGCTTTTCTGCAAATGCTGGATTACGATGGTACAGATCCAGAATAATTTTTTCTCTGGTTGGTTTGTTGATTTGAGTGAGATAAATTAAGAATTTTGAACATGTTCTGTTGCTTCTGGCAGGACTGAACTGGTTGGTTACTTCTGTTAGTGCTTTCCCCACATTGCTTAGGGCTAGATATTCTAATACTAGTGTTGCTGCGGGTGTCATTCAAGTTGTTTCTGATCCAAACTTTCTGATCCAAAATCTGATATGGATCTTAGTGATGAAAAAAATATTGGATATGTCAATGCAGGAATTGGTGAATATTGACAAGTCAAAGTTGGGTGAGCCACAATCATAGCCCAACCAAGAGTATGACCGGTGTGCAACAAATGTATGTACATACATGTGCATGTACCGTATATATCGCACTTTCAGATTTCTAGCCATACAGTTCCTATGAAACCATTCATTTCAAGTGTCACATTCTATGGTCTGTTGATTGTATCTAGCTGCCTTTGTTCTGAGCACACTGGGGGTATTTAGGTGGAATGGCTGTTAAGAGCAATGTTATTTGCAAGCAGTATGATAAACAGAATATGTGTTGTAAGGCTCAAGTTTAGCACCACTTTCCTTTGGCCATAATAAATACATGACTTAATAATAGCCAAAAAATGGAAAAGAACTCAGTTAGTCCCCTCGTTCCATCTGGAATGGTGTCCAATGATGGCAGTCCCATACATGGACATGTACATTGTGGTTGTGATACATGTACTTTAGGAAGTGGCTTACTATCAGGACCACTGTGCATATTGTCGATAAGGGCATAAAGATTCAATAATGAATCAATAATGGTGATACTGAAATTCCACAATACAGCATCGTTATACAGATTTTGTACTGTGATACATGAATGGTTGGGCTAATACACTTGAATGAGAGAGAAAATTAGAGTTCAGTTGAAAATAAAGTTTAACCCAAAAAACAGGTGATGTTTTCAGAGTGAGGCTTCATTATGCAGTCCAACATAGCCCATCCACAGGCATAGACAAGTTGGTTTTCCTCATGCCGTCTTTCAACGCGGCCTTGTCAATCACCAGTTGATACTTCATTCCTCTTGTCCTCTTTTTACACCCCTTCTGCTCATCTGGAAACAAGCCATTCTCCTCCAAGTGGGTGTTGATATCCTCGGCAGTCATTATTGTCAAGAGCTTGTAAACAACAGGAAAACAAGTAATAGGTGTATAATTACTCGCGACCCTTCCTTTCTTGACATCCTTCATAAGCAAAACTGCCCTATCCTCAGTCATCATGCTTGGAAGATTCCCATGCACAAGGCTTTCCTCTAAATGCCCAGTCTACTGCTGAAATTCTTCCTCTAGTATCCGTGAACATGGTCCACACACGGCGCTTTCCAGTTCGTTACTTTCTTCAATTACTTCACCTTTTCCATGGTGATGTGTACTTCCTCCTGCCTAGGAATACCTTTCAATTCTATCCTCACTTCTGGCCGGTTGTTGTGAAGAACCGGCTTGTCCCAAATGCCTCCCTAAAAGGACTTAGCCTTGGCAGCCTCTGAGGCCTCCTGTTAAACATCTGCCTTACCATTCAATTCCTTGAATAGCTGTCTTGAATTGGACCTAAACAGACTCTCAGATGAAACGGTTTAATTCTGTCTTCATACCTCTTCACCTTGGCTGCCTTTGCCTTGATTCTGTGCTTGATCTCTTCCTTGACGACTGTCATCCCTTTACTATGGACTCCATACTTGACCAGCAGCTTATCCCTCATTTCAGACATCCTCATTGCATCTCTGTCCATCTGCTCAATCGTGCTCAGATCCCTTTGCTGTTCCTTGATCTGTCCTTTGAGCCAACGCTTCCACCAAGGTGTTGCACCCCAGTTGATGTTGTCACTTTGCTTACATCCAACCTGTTCCATCACAACAGCACTTGCATAAACAAGGCTGTTAAGATCAGATATAATAGTTGTTTTGATACGATCGAGGATCTTGTTAACAGTCCTTGAAGCATCGGCCAACCGTTTCCTTTCAACTCAATGCAGCGCAGAATGCAATCTTTATCTCTTGATGATATTATCTCTTCTATCCCCATCCTCATTCTATCTTTCTTCTCTGTCAAGCCAGTATCCAAAATCACTTCTGCTGGCCCATCCATGTCTGAATGACCTTCCTGTTCATGCGCAGCTGATACACTCTCGTTGCGATTGCCTGTACCCACACCAACATACCAAGGGTCCTCTACAGCATCATCCCGAAGAGAACTGCTGCTAGATCCATCCTCATCATCCAAATTAAAGGCCTGTCCTTCTATGGCTTCTGGCAATTCTCTACCCTGTGCAACCACCTCTTGATTTCCTATATTTCTACCACTGTAAAGCCACAAATTTTTCCATATATTCCTAACCAGATCCATAAAGTATTGTTCTTTAATTTCCAAAAGACCCCTTTCCTTACTCATTTTGAACATTCATGTCCTGCATCTTCTACATTCTGGCCTACTACTTAAATAACACTCTATTGCAACCCAGTTTTCTTCCTGGCTCCACTTTCTCCTTATTCCAGCCCTAATTTTACGATTAATCTGAGCAGTGTTAGTACAGTCCAAGAGACCTGGCCCCAAATTATTTCATTGACTTCCAGTTGTGAGGCACACATTATCATCACACTAGTGTGAGAAAAATTGAAAAAACAAACAGGGAAAATTGAATACAAATGCGATGTGTATTAATCCTGCCGGCTGGTCGGTTTGAAAGTTTGCCGTGCTCACGATGCAATGATTGTAATATATTCGTACAATAATTTTAGGTACAATAATTATGGCTAATTATGGAAAAGGTTGCCTCTAAATGAATTAATAAAGAAAAGCGCAGCTATATCAGTGATACCTATCACCATTGGCTAGGTGGAATGAATCAAGCATCAAAAGATGCCTAAAACTAGAATGCCACATATCAAGCGTTAATTGACCTTAAATGGAACAGAAGGCTCCAAAATGACAAGAAGTGTTGCAATAAACTGTTGATTGCCTCCAAACTGAATGTGAATGTCCCATCAATGAAAAAAAATGTATACATTTGTAATCAGAAGTGTAAAATCCACACAAAATTGAAGAGCTGACATTGAAACTGATTTAGAAAATTTGAAACTTGGGTGGGAAACCAAGATTATAGAACACTTAGTTGGTTCATTTTTATTTATTTGTATCCAGTTTTGTTAGCATTTTGCTGGGGAAAATTACATTAGCTGTACCGGTACTTATACCAGTAGGAGATTCCATTTGTTGTAACGTATTGAAATATTTAAATCTAAATATTAATATTCAGATATCCTGCATGTATTAGTTGATTCTTTCATCTTACAGTAGATGCTGCGTTTTCTTTGTAAATATGCAGTGAACTGGAAAAACTTAGCAACAGCATTGTGAAAGTTCATGTGAGCCAAGGCAGCAGTTTGGGAGTGACAGGGTTACTTAGCTTGGATCCAGTATTGGACAAGACACCGCTGTATCAACAGGTGCTGCAGTCCTACAAATGGTCTTCCAAGGTACATGTATATATAAACTGATTGTTCTCACAAAAATTTGTTGTCTTACTTCTTGAGGCTTGAAAATCACTTCTTTACTTCTTGTGATCCACACCACAGAAAGAGTGCACAGTAATTTTTATTTTTTTTAGCAGAATAGTCTTTCTCTATTAGTTCTCTGCAATACAGTATATACATGCACATGCAGGCTCAAAATTGGGCTAATCATCACAGGAGCAAATACTTGCTGAACAGCTGAATTCGTCACTTTACGGTAGCACGTACATGTAGCTCCCATACAATATTAAAGACATATGTTCAAGAAAAAGTAAAGACCCTGGTCCTTGTTGCTTTTGTTAAAATTGATGACACTGATAACTTGTGGCTTAGACTTTGGCAGATATTAAAGCCTTGATCGAGTTGTTATTTTTGTGGGCATGCACGCGACGTACGACTAGTAGTGAGTACATGCCCAACCGGAATCTCAAACGTGCTTAGCGACACTACGCAAAAAGCGGGCACTGGGCCTTTCTAACGTGCATAGGGAACTAACTGCAGCAATCGAACGTTTTTGAACCAAGACGATTAAGCTGAGACTTTGGTTTTGCTGGTTCCATTTATTTTGGAGCATGGTTCAAAACCACATGTTCAAGCTAAGACTTGAACCAGCGAAACTGAATTTACGCACAAGGGGCCAGTTTCCATACAATCGTGACAATGGTCGCAGGTATTCTTGTGTGTGTGTTCATTTGTCTGCATGCATTGCATGCGAGACTGCGGCGTGCGCTTGGTGACATCGTAAAGAAAATTTTCGGAAGTAAAGTAAAAAAGTTCAGGTATTTTTCATGACAAAAGTAGAAACAAATGGTAAACATGTTCAGGTACATGGAATCAAACGGGGGTAAGTACTTGTGCCTGTCATTTTGATTTACGGGTGCATTTCTGAGGCAAACGAGTGCATTTTAGCTACCTGTGCCCATTAATTTTGAGCCCTGTACATGTACCTGTAGTGTGTGCCTTAATGTGTGCACTCAATCCCCCCTGTTACTCTTGCTTCAGGTGTACAACATAAAAGCCCAACTCCAACCCCGATCTACATGTATAATTCTCTAAAAAGTTAACTGTCTTGTTTATGGAATATATAAGACTATATCTGTGCAAACTTGCCAATTTGTAGCCGCCACTAACGGCAAAAGAAAAGGATTAGTTAAATATTCATGCCCATTCTTCATTTCTCCTCACTGTCACTATCGTGGGTGCTTTGCGGAAATTTTAGGACATGGCGCCATCACGTTGGGTCCTCTAGCAGTGCAGCTGTGGTGTGCTCTACATGTGTACATATCGTATGGATGACGAAGGGAGAAGGGGAGTTCGCCATGTTATGTAGCCAGTTGGCAAAAGTGAAGAGCAAAAGTTCAGCAGAAGAAATGTAACGCAAAGGAATATTTGCCGATCTTGCAAGATTGATGCTGGTGGTTAATGCCACAGATGCCTTGGTATACTGTACTTGTGCTGTGTCTGCAAGTCACAATAGCTCAGTGTCTTGGATGCCAGGGGACAGCTCTTCAGGTGGACTACAGAGACTCCCCATCAGACCCTCTTTCAGAATATGCAGTTCAGTAACTAAGATGGAGAGCATAGTGGTCCATACCACATTACTAATATAAAAACAAAACAAATCATATCTCTAACTTCTGATGAATTCAACACACATCAGAATCTATTGAATATTCACGGACCCTGTTCAAATAAACCATAGTTGTCGGAAAAGCATTTCAAAAGCATCAGTCCAAACTGTAGGACTACAGTCAATCACTTACACCATGGATGTGATGGGTGAAAAGTCCTGACTTACACATACATGTATATACAAAATCTGCTCATATTTCTCAATGCAGTGAAGAGCACAACTTATTCCCAGCCTCCACTAAGTTATAAGTCAAAGTGATTGGAAAGTATGCTCAAACCACCTCAAATAATTCACTAAACACATGTCTTAAGCTAAATGTAAAAGCAAAACTTTCCAAGGAAACATCTCTTTTGGATCTAGTCTCAAAACATTACTGGTCAGTGGAAATTACAAGATACATGTACCAAAACCTTCAACATCATAAATTTGCTTGGACTTCTCAAAAATCCCAAAGTCCAGACTTCATGAAATCAATTGGTACACTTCTTTTTTCACAATTTACGAGAGTCACAGTGAAAAAGGCAATGACAAAACCCCAGAAAAGATACACAGTAGTTTAAAATGATATAAATAGGAACTCCAACTTACCTAAGATAGAGAGCCAACACTCGTGAACTTAAGGGGAAGACTTGGATTTTTAGGTCCGCCGGTCCAAAGAAAAATGAAGCAGAGCGCAGACAAAATTCGGCAGGCATGTAGTCAGCACGATGGCAAAGTTTGGAATGCCCAGCTTTTTTGCCGCAAAACTCTGGGGCAAACTTCTCCTCAGAACGTGCCTTTGCCACATGACTAGCTCAGGCTCTCATTGGACAACTTAAAAAGTGCCACACATGACTCCAATACTGATTTGTCATTTAGTATCTAGGCAGATGAGCACTCAGTAGAAGTTTATGGCTTTCACAGCTTGGAGTAAGGTATGAACAGCAATTAGGGATTAAGTGTCTCAACATCCTGCTGATCTCCTATAAAATTTACTGGGAGTGAACAACACAAATGTACTAGTCAGAGATTAAAAGCAGTGGATACAAAGAGCATCCTATGATCTCCTAGGAAAGCAGGAACATTAAAGACAAACTGAACAAAGAGCAGGCTATTCGACAAAAGAAACAGGCAATAGATCAAATTTCACCACTGGAACACTGCTTACCAGTAGAAAAGTCAAAAGCTCAGGAAAGAACAATTTAAATATGTAAAAGGAAAGCATAGTCATAAAGAAATAAAATTTGAAATTGTAACCCAAGACCTCTTTTGGGACAGGGTTATGTGGACTAGGCACTTATGAATGATTATAAAGATGAACAAAGCCGGATTTGAACCTGCAGCCTCTGGAGTAGTGTACCAGTGCTCTACCAACTGAGCTGCCCGGCCCTATGTTGGTGGATCTTCCCATTTGTCTATATCTCTGTTCGGGGGGCACTAGCCAGAAGCAATTAAACCTGAAACACCATGTAACCAGGGATCACACCCAATTACACATGATACAACCTGGGAAGTGGTGAACAGGAATCACTCAAAGAGGATACGGCTTATCCGTATCCTGTTTGAGTTTACGGACATGTCTTTATGACATTTTCAGAGTTTCGAGTTCCGTACCTTTCACATTTGTGTATTGACATGATCTCTGTTTACGAATAAAGAGTGATTTCTTATCTGTTGGTAAAGGGGGCTTATTTTCGTATTTCATATCTTGTATTTCGTATTTTTGTTGTTCTTTTCTGCCCCTTTTTTTCTGTGCATTATCTACAGGTTTGGGTGTGACCTACCATCGTAGTATGTTGTGTTTGGCCGTTGACCAGGGCTGGGCAGCCCTTTGTTCTCTATGTGGTACATGCATTCGAATAATAATGGCCCAATGCTGTATGGGTCTGGCCGTGGAGCGGGGTTTGGTGGGCTACCTCGCTCCTTTGTAGTGCGGTTTGTGTTATCCGATTAACGGCCTTGACAGGGAGAGACCCAGTGGAGTGAATAGGCCGGGGTTGAGTGTGCTGTGCCGCAATACTACCCTGGACCTTTATCTACATGATTGGGTCGAGCGTGCTGTGACTGCTTCGTACACTTACCGACCGGGCTGAGCATGTGGGCCACAACACTACCCTTGGTCATCGACGCCCACTCCATACATCTTCAGATCAGGTTTAGTGTGCTATGTCGCAACACTACCTTTGATCACGGCGACCGGAGAATGATGAGCTGTTCCTTTCTCTATGCTGCGGGTACTGGTCGTCTGCCGATGGACTCCGGTCATGAGGCCACCAATCCTGACCTGGGACGTTCCTCACAGGATACGACTGACCATGTGGGGGATCCCTGCCAGGTTGTTCCTCCGACCATCCCGGCCTTCGGCTCCCTCACACAGGTAAAGTCTATCAAGCACAGGGCCGAGACATCTTTTTCGGCTTCCTCGTCCAAGGCTAAGAAGAAACGCTGCTCTGATCCGGATTCACCCTCGTGGATGGCGACCCTCCAGTCCCTCTCGGAGGCCTTCACCTCTCTTGCCCGCAAGGTAGACTCTGAGCCTAAGCCAGCGGCAATCGACCCAGATCCCCTCCGGCTGTCCCTCCTCCCTCGCAAGGGGCATACTCAGAGGCCGAAGTGGTTTCTGTTGTTCAGCCAGAACCGCCTCCCCGACGGGGCCTGGCTCAGGATCATGTCCTGGAATCGTGGTGACTCTTTCGGTTCCGAACACGATTTGGCTCTCCCTCCGCGGGCCTTCAACCTCTCCCTACCGAGGAGGACGACATTGACTCTATTGCTGGCCTGACCCAACCCATGGGCTGCCTCCGCCTTCTTGAGCGTGACATGATCCACATTCTCAGGCTCCTGTCATCAGACCCTATGCCTGGGGAGCAAGGACACACTTCGGTCAAGTGTCACCCTTCACGCCTCAAGTCGGCTGAACCTGTCTTCCTTGAGCTCCCCCTGGATCGCTCTTACGTGGAGATGATGAACATTCTTGCCATTCATCGCCACAGCTTCTGGCTACCAGTTGGGTTATCTGACCAATGTGCTTCCGTCACAGCTCCCCAGTGGCTTGGCCCACTTCAGCCAATCACGACCTGCATTCTGGACATTTTGCTGACGCTGCAGGTTTTTAGGTTCTTCTTTCAGGTTCTGCGGGCAGATCAGCCGCACATAAGAAGCGTGCACACTAATTGTCTTCTGCAGGGTTCAACTTAAAAATCTCGCTCTACACCGAAGCAAGATACATGTATTTCTTCATCTAATTTGATGACGACAGTCCGCCCCTCATAGATGCTCTCCACTTTAGTCAGCTGCCTTGAGTCAACCTCCACTCCCCAGCGAGTGCTACTGACCCGTGTGAGGATCTCTATCCAGATCCTCACCTAGATTTGTAACCGGCTCTGCTTCCGACTTCCAGCTTCATTTCCGGCTTCACATCCAGCTCTGTCAGTCCATCCAATACACGAATGCCCATTCATTTTATTTTGAATTGAATTTGCGCTTAGGTGCCATCGCGAAATTGACTAAGCGTTCTTCCGCGGTTTGTTGGCGTTCTAGCCAATCAGTCCAATGTTGTCAAGGAGGGCGAGAATCCACAGATTGGACGGCGGTGTGTGCTCTTCGTGGCTAAGTTAATGAGCATGTGCCTTTGTCGTTGCAACAATGGATGCAATGAAACATGACCAACCTCATGAATACAGAAAGCAGGAGGTATAATGTCCATCCTTTTAAATGCAGTATGGCAAAAGTTTTGATACATTTATTCGTGCATTTTGACAGGAATAGGCATTCTTCGATCAAGATGTATCAGTTTTTGTTCGTGTTGTAAAGTTTGCATGGAAACTAAACAAGCCATTTACAAATCGTCTCGACCAGAGCTCTTATATAATGAAGCAGAGGGCACGAACGCACTCATGAAAATTCCACCAATGGCCTTTTCATGGTACCACGTTTCCTGCCTTGATAATATTTTGATAGCCAAAGATAAAAGTTCGTACTTGCAGTTTATTCCCTCTGTATGTCCGTCCCTTGATTTTTTACCCTTTATAACAGTCCCCGTTAACGTTAATGGTCCACAGTATTTGGCCATTATTGGATATAAATCAATGTTAAATCTTTTTAACGAAATCAGGAAAAATTGAAAGTCATTTACTGAGACACCCAGTCTAACAATTGTTGACACGGTAGTACTGTTGCTAAATGATGTGGCTCCAAAATCAGCACCTTGATTGGTCCATGAAAATGTTGGGGCATTCCAGACATTGCAACTGGCCAATCTACACCTGAAGCAAGACCCAAGACGATATCTTGTTGATCGCCTTTTGTAAATATTTTGTGGTTTCCTCGATCATCGTTTAGGCTTTCTCCGAGACCCCAGTGCTAAATGGCAGATCGTGCAGAATGGGTCCTCTTTATGGTAAACGTTCTGTTTAGCAAGTCCAAAACCGTGGAAGGGTGCTCTACAAAAATAATCACCGATGCCAGGAACTGAGACTGATGTCAACCTTGTGCAAATTCTTCCAATCATTGGTCAATGTTGGACCAACAGTGAGGGAAATTAACCAATAATGTGGCAACTTTAACCACGGACCATTTACCCAGGGATGTGCAATCGCGAGCAGCCCAGTGCAAACAAATGTGTGACCTTGGTTCCATACGTGTTACGGATTGTTATTACCCCCGCAGGCGCTCTCGACTTTCTCAAAAAAACTCGCAACCACATGACACACGTTGCAGCATGAAGCATGTACAGTGCAGCCGTGGTTATGCCGAGACGACACGCCGACGCGGTGCTTAAATCAATTCGTTTCGATGAATAAAATTTCTTTATTTATCGATTTCAAGCAGAAACGAAGTTTTAATGAGGCAAAATTCCCAAATTTTGTGGTACCCTTTCTCAGAATGTATAGGATGAAATATCTTGAGCAACATATTTTTAGAAAGGGTCACCCGATTTAAAATATTACAAGAAAACAAAGTGGTAGACAGGAATATATGTTTTATTATTAAAGATAATCCAATTTAATTTCTGTTTTGATATTGTGCCGGCCGTAACACGCATTGAACCAGCTCTGTATCTGTTCCACTCAGGCCTCCAGGTTCCCACCATCCGCTATACTGGTTGGCCTTGCCGGCTGTCCACTCAGGCTTCAGAGATGGCTTGACTCTCTCTGACGGCGCTGCTATCTAATATCTCCTTCAAGGCATGTTTGTCAGGTGTTCTCACGTCAAATGCATCGTCTTATCCTTGGACCTTGGAAGCTTTCCTTGAGTTCTTGCCAGTCCCCGTTTTTTGAGCCACTGGTTGATGTGTCTGACCTGCATCTCAGCATCAAGTTGGTGCTCCTCGTCACAGTTGTTACATTGAGATGAGGTAGGGAGCTACCTACCTACCTAGCGGCTTGTCTTGTCTCAACCATCGGGTTCTTGACAAAAAAAACAGACGTCTACCTTCTTGTCTCCTGACATTTCCGCCCATGGCAGAGCGATCCTGCACTCAGTGGTCTGGACATTGTCCAGCGCTGTTCCAGGCCGGGCGGTGGATACTTTGACTGAGGAGCTTCTCTTGGTGAGTGCTCACTCTTGCGACACCCGCCTTATGTTCCTTTTAGTAACTTCACTCCCGTCGCCGACCCAACTCCAGGGTTCAGTGCCACTCTGCATACATGTACATGTATGTAGGCTGGGCAGGAGTATGTGAATGCAGGAGACTCCTGCCCCACCTGGAGTGGGTCGGGTCTCCTAGTCATACTTGCCCCTGCCCAGCCGCTCCGGCCCATCCTTCCCCTTTTCGGCTCTGGTGGTTTCCACCGCTTCGAAAAGAAGGAAGAACGTGGTGGTGGGACTGCAGTGCATTGTGGAGAATCAAATCAAGTAAAGCTTCCCCATAGGTGAGGAAGTCAATAATTTGGAACTTATCATTTCCATTGACTGAGGAATTAATTTTCATGCGATGAAAATCACCCAGAATGACAATTTTCATTACAGGGCTATTGATACTAAGATTATCAAGAGTATATAAATGTGTTCTTGCAGAAACTATTAGTTATGCACATGTATACAGCTCAAAGTGAAATAGATGAAATCCTGTGTGGAAGTCTTTTTGGCTAGATTTTAACTCAGCATTCCAGGGCCACAGAAATTTGATCATGCACACAGATGACGACTCTACCCCCGCATTGATTATCAAGGTTTTTACAGAACAAATTGTAGTTTTGTATGCTTAGCAGATTGTCGGGAATACTAGTTTAAACCCAAGATTCGGTTATTTCATTATTAGATGTCAACTTTGTGCTGTTGAAATAAGATTTGCATTTCATCAAACTTGTTCACAAGAGACTGTGCATTGGTCATGAAAATTGCTTTTTGATAAACCAGAATCACATTGTGACTCTGGAATTCAAGTGGCCGGCTGTATTTATTGTGACCTATTTCAGCAGTTTTGGACAACCAATTCCTTCAGTGGTACATGTATATTTCCACCCAAATGAACCTACATACTGTTGTCTTGAGATTTCTCTGTTTCTGGAGAAGAACTAAGTTTAGGAGATTTTACCACAATACAAATTGTTAAGATTGACTCTCTTGGCAAAAGATTACAGAGTTTCTGCATGGCAGCCATCTTTCCCATAACTGCTTTTGTCGCAGAGGGGTAGTACAAAAGGTCTACTCATGTGTATCCCTGTGGAACAAAAGTTCTTACTGGAAAAATGGCTGCAGTGCAGAACCCCTATACATGTACATCCCATGTGTACGCATTGTTACCAGGTCATGGGATTTACATGCTTGTTGAAATATTATACAATGTATCTATAGGTGTTACTGGTACCAATAATGCAGACAAATGTTTGTTGTAACAAAACAAATTGTCCAGTTAACATGGGAAGGCCTACCGTTACACTTGTACCTTTCAGTTTCCTCTGTTGAATGGTAGTTATTGTGGATACAAATTTGTTGTTTGCTCATTTTTTTTTATCCTTAGAACGTGATCGTTAAGTTTTGTCAACAAAGACATTGTCCCATCAGTGCTGGGCTGGTTAAACACTTTGAAAAGTTGAAGACCAGGGGGGTTGACTGTTACTCTTAATTTAATGGATCATGTCATTCATTTCTCATTTTTAAAAAATTCTTTTTTGTTTACAGTTAAAGGAGCATGCTAGCCATGCGTATGCCCTGCTGAATCATCACTGCACAATGAGACGATCATCCAGCATTGGCAGCAAAAAGCGTAAGATACAGCAAAACCTGTAAGTTGAATGCCGCACATGTCATTACCATTTTCATGAAGATGAAAACTGGCCAAAATCATCACATTTTCAAATTTCTGGTTTTTGGTCAAGCCACGCTATCGGATGCTTATAGCTTAGTGAATCTCTTGAAATCAGCTGAATCACAGTTGTGTCTTTGGGGTAACATACAGTCAAATCCTATTGTTTGTTTTCATGAAGGGAAAAATATATGCTCCATAAAGATGACGTCGTGCAATGAAATGCAAAACTTGTTTTCTCGGTCTCCTGTGTTTGCATACCCCTGCCCAGCCTACGTATGCAAATTTCCCATGTGCCTATTACAATTTGCTGAAAAGACTTGATTATGCATTGTCACATCACAAGTCTGTGCTTCCCGTGTGTGATGTCACAGTGAATAGTTGAAACTAGGGTGCCACACGACAAGGACAAGTCTAGCCACAAAACCATACCCAAAGTTTGCAAATACAATAACAAAATATAATAATTTAATTCAATTCAAAAGGTAATACATGAATATATTTACAATTACCTCCAATCTTAAATTTACATAAACGTCATTCAACAGATATCAATAATACATACAATGGTTCAGCCGACACTGTATACTTCTCCCCAGGTGCTAAATGTTGCTGGCCTTCTAGAAATAGTGCATCCAGGGCAATAAACAATCACTCAGCACCAGAGTCCTCCAAGAGTTGGGGTTGTTCCCAGTCTCAGGCTGGTCACAGAGAATAAGGGTCCACACATACCTGGGCGTTCCCACAGAATGGGGGGGGTTCACACAGTGCTGGGCATTCACACAGAACGAGGATCCAGCCAGAGTCTGGTGTTCATACAAAGGAACGAGGGTCCACACAGAGCGGGCGTTTACACAGAACAAGGGGTCCGCCCAAGCGTGGCGTTCACACAGAACGAGGTGTCCTACCCAAGCATGGCGTTCACACAGAACGAGGCATCCGCCCAGAGCAGACAGGCTCCCTATCAGATTGTCCCCCAAAAGCCTTGGCATACATGTACATTTTGATGGCCCAAGGGCAATATTCCCTGTGGGCGGGGCCAAGTGGCTACCACTATGCTGGCCCTACCGGGTAGCCCTTTGGTTAAATAGAGAAAAAAAAACATTTTATGCACAAAGTCTTTAACGAACATGGAAACAGTAACTCTGCCTCTATCATAATTTCTTGGGGATGGTTATCATAAGATGCGTATCAACCATGCTTAATTTTACATCTCTCGATAATATCTGGCACAGTGAGACACACAAAAATACTCCAAACTACTTGCTTATAGAATATTGTAGCTAATTTGAAAATAAAAATAAGGTTACACTTACAGTTTTCCAACTGGCAACTACATGTATCATTCTTGAAAGACGTACATCTGAAATGCACTGTGTTATAAGCATTAGCTGTCACACACAGTATGTACATGCATGTCTATTCACACAGAAGGCTTGGGTGTGTCTGCCCTCCAATACATACATCCACACTGCACTCCCCATCTGAATCAGTGGAGCATACTCAAATTTGCATTTCTAATTTGCATAATAAACTACTTTGAACTCCATAGAAAACTCTTAATCTGGCTGCTCCATTCTCAAAAACCAGGGGTGAGTTTACACAGGACAATTCAATACTGTACTTGCAGAAAAGAAAACCATTATGACATGCATGCTGCCCCTTGACCCTCCACAATGCACTGTGGTCCCACCGCCATGTTCGTCCTTCTTTTCTCAGCGCCTATCGTTTACGGACATGTCTTTTATGGCATTTTTGGAGTTTTGAGTTCTTACCTTTTGAGTTTGTGAATTGACTTGATTCCTTTTATGAAATAAAGAGTGCTTATTTTCATATTTCGTTCTTTGTATGCTGTGTTTTTGTAGTTCTTTTCTGCCCCTTTTTTCTGTGCATCCTATACAGGTTTGGGTGTGACCTACTGTGATGCGTTGTGTTGGGTATGGCCGCTGAACAGGGCCGGGAAGCCCTTTGTTCTCTATGAGGTGCGTGCGTTTGAATAATAACAGCCCGCCCCCATACGGGCCTGGCCGCAGAGTGGGGCTTGGTGGGCTGCCCCACTCCTTTGTGGTGCGGTTTTGCGTGACCCGATTTGCGGCCTCGATGAGGAGAGACCCAATGGAATGAATAGGCCAGGGGTAAGTGAGCTCTGCTGCAACATACCCCGGACCTTTATCTACAAGACCGGGTTGAGTGAGCTCTGCCGCAACAATACCCAGATCACTGATGACCACTATCGGAATCGATTGGGCTGAGTGAGCAGTACTGTAACAATGCCCTTGATCACTGATCAATGACTACTCCATTCACCTACCCACCGAGCCAAGCGTGCTGGACTGTTACACTACCTTTGGTCATCAGGGCCCACCCTATGCCCACAGATCGAGTTTTGCGAGCTATGCCGCAACAATACCCTTGACCATGATTGTCATGGAGTAATGAGCTGTTCATTTCTGGTTCAGGTTCTGGGCACCGTGACCTACTGCATTCCCAGACGGCCCTAGTGACCGATGGCTTAGTGGGGCCCATGGGTCGATGGTCCGTCGTCTGCCCTGGGCCCCTCACCGGCTCCTTCTCGCTGAGCGGCACTCGCTCGGAAGTCAGGCCAGTCAACTCCCTCCAAGCGGGCAACAGGTTCAACAGCTGGTTTGCCACACTCTGCTGCTTCTGCCACGGGTGAGTCGGCCATTCAGCATGGTGCTCAGCCTCTCGTTGCTTCCGACAATGATGCCCCCCTTATTGATTGCTATGCCACTGAGCTTGCGTCTGCCACACCCCATCCGCAGCTGTAGTCTGCCAATGGACTTTGGTCATGAAGCCACCGATCTTGACCTGGGCCGCTCCTCTCAGGAGATGACTGACACGCGGGGTACCCCACCCGGTCCTTCCTCCAGTCGTCCTGGCCTCCGGCTCCCCCGTACCAGTGAAGGTTAAGGAGCGCAAGGCCAAGACATCTTTCGGCTTTTTCTTCCTCGTCCAAGGCTATGAAGAAACGCTGCCTCGATTCGGATCCACCCCCGTGGATGACGACCCTCCAGTCCATCTTGGAGGCCTTCACCTTTCTCGCCCGCAAAATGGACTCCAAGCATCAGCCAGCGGTGACGGCACCCGACCGAATCCCCTCCCAGCCGTCCCTCCTACCTCACAAAGGGACATTCTCAGAGGCTGAAGTGGTCTCCGTTTTCCAGCCAGTTCCGTTCCCCCAGTGGGACCTGGCTCATGATCATGTCCCGGATCATGGTGGCTCTGTCCGTTGGCATTGCAATTGGGCGAGTAAACTCCGCTGTTAGCTGGGTCTCAGTATGACATTCACCCCCAGTTCCTGTGACCTGAATTCCTCTGGCGGTCTCCCTACTACTAGTGTCTACAATGGAAGACATGTATTCATTGTAAAGCTCGCCAGTCTACACACCGGGATGGCCCCATGCTTCCTGGGCCAGCCACAACGACTGCCACACACCATGGACTTTGGCTGTCAGATGAACTTCTCAGTGGTTTGCTCAGGCGTGACTTAAAAGTTATAACGCCTTGGGCTGACGGCCCGCTGTTTTTCGGGGGCAGCCAATTCAGAGGCGCCGCCTACCTATGTGGGCTCTTCAATTCACCAACCACTTTTCGGGCTCCAGAACTGCATCACCACTGTAGTTCTAGAATGCCACTCATCACTTCGGCTTCTGGGTACCGGCTAGGGCTATCTGACCAGGGTGTTCAGTCTTCTCCGGTGGCTTGGTGCACTTCTGCCTATCACAACCTGCATTCCAGACATGCAAGAAGACCCACTCTCCACCTGGGTAATATTTCTTCATCGGGTTTGATGATGTCGGTCTGCTCTCTCGGAGACTCAGTCCACCTTAGCCAGCTACCTTGAATCAATCTTCACCCCGCGATCCAGATGCCCTATGTGGGGATCTCCTTCCAGATTCTCACCCGGGTTTGTAGCCGGCTCCGCTTCCGGCTCCAGAATTTTATCTCCGCCTTCACATCTAGCTCCGTCGGTCTGTCTAATACAAGACGGCACCCGTTTATACATGTATTTTTTTAACTGAATTTGCTCTTACTAAATTCTTTCAATAGTAATAATAATAATAATTCTTCAACTTCACTGGGTTCTAGGTGGAAAGGCTTGCGGTAGCACCATGCGAAGGGATATATATCTCTTATGAGTATGTGCAGTTATGAAAAGAACTGGGAGCATACTCAACATTTGCGATCGACTGCGTGCTCAGTCCGTCACCATGAATAGCCTGAAATGCCATTTAACCCAGTTCTATTTACGACTCAAATCTAGCTCCGCACCTACGCCACTGCCTTGATTTTTCCAGTTTTTGGGGCATCTGGGTTTGCAGGAACTACATGCACACTCTACCGAGCCGCCTTATGTCGTTTGCTCATGTGGCCCCTGGTGGGTGTGAGTCTTGGTCACACATACCAAACCTTGACCGTGACTTGAATATTTTGCTCATAGGCCTATCGCTAGACTACGCATCAAACTGCCAGCTAGCCCCTGAGATGACTCAACTGGGGGCCAGCTACATGTAGGTGGGAAACAGAGAAATCTGCTCTTCAAAAACCGCTTCCACATTTTTATGGTGCCATGTCGGGTCCTCCTCATTACCCGTTCTGGCCTCGCCAACCATGGTTTCCGAGACTAACAAGACTTCTGGTACGCTGGCCACTGGTCCTTCCACCCAGGGAGGACATTCTTTGTCAACCCAAGTCGTGGGTCCTCCATCCAGCCCTGGGGGATCTTCACTTCACGTGCTGGACATTGTCCAATGATCCTTCAGAGCGTCGGGCCTTTCTGCGGACGCTGCTTCCATGACGGCCCGGGGTTGACGACTGTCCACTCACAAAATTTACAACAGCCGACTACAACATTTTACCAGATGGTGCGATGACCACGATGCTTCTCCAACTGAAGCTCCTGTGAATTCTGTCGCAGACGTTTTCCTGTATCTCTGCCACTTTGGCCTCCAGATAGCC